TAACCTGTAAAATATGCAACATTTTAAAATTTATTATACTTTGAACATATAAGCTGTCATAACAAGCTTTTAAGGATAATAAAATGGTGAACTGATTTGAAGGTAACATGTTCATTTAAAGGGGCCCTGCATCACTTCTTCAAGTAGCCATGGAGCCACTAAAGAGGCTTATTGCCTCACGAATTTCCCACCACAGTCTTCATAATCAGTCCAGTATGAGCGGAGTTCCAAAAATTTGTTGCACACTGCCATTGCATTCTCTCTTCTTGTCGCAACAAAAGCTATGCAGGGAGGGATGGCACAGGGAAAGGAAAAACGTCACGTGTGCCTTGTGACCCTGAGCACCTTTTCTCTCTTTTATTTTTTCTTCGAATATGCGGCCGCTCAGTGCAATCACACACATACCTGTTGACGAGCAGCGGCCTCCCGCAGCAGCCCCAGCAACAACCGAGCGCCAATGGCTGCGACAAGTTATGTTTGACCTTGCAGTGTCATTTGCCGAGAGAAAAGAGATTTTTAGCTGACTTTGAGAATTCATTGTGAATTCAAGGCCGCGTACTGTCTTATAACATTTGTCTCACATGTTCTCCCTAGTCTCGACTACCAATCGGCAGCGTTTTCTGACCATGCTCAACAACAGCCCTTATAAATTTGATTTGATTTGATTTGTGGGGTTTAACGTCCCAAAACCAACATATGATTATGAGAGATGCCGTAGAGGAGGGCTCCGGAAATTTTGACCACCTGGGGTTCTTTAACGTGCACCCAAATCTGAGCACAGGGACCTACAACATTTCCGCCTCCATCGGAAATGCAGCCGCCGCAGCCGGGATTCGATCCCATGACCTGCGGGTCAGAAGTCGAGTACCTCAGCTACTAGACCACCTCGGCGGGGCTGCCCTTATAAATTTGAAGGGGGGGGGGGGGGGAGCTTCGCAGCAGAACGAATTTATCCAAAGTAGGCGTTTTTACAGTTTAGCACTCCTGCACTGGAGTGAAACCACCTATGCAGGCAGTTACATGTGGGCTAATATACACCTATTCGTTAATTGCAAATACTTCAAAATTTCTATTAATTTAAACTCAAATCAAAGCGAATTCTCTGCTACTCGTTCAAATATTTGAATGCTTCGAATATTCGCACAAGCTTATTTGTCCATTATAGCAATGATAGTGTAAAGAAACAAAATTTTGTGCGAAAGCAGGACGTCAACATTGGGGGATACAATATAAATATTGTCTGCAACAGGTGGGACAGGGGAGATGCCATTGTAAGCAACTGTTCGTTGAGGGCGACGCAGCTGTTTGATGGAACAGAGTCGTTTTAGAGGGCAACTGGGAGGATCAACAAGTTTAGGTAGAGCGAGTTGCACTTTTCTGGCAGAACACTCTATCAAGGCAGAATGTTCCGACAAAAAGTCATGGCCCAAAATTATGTCGTGAAGGCAATGTTTTACAACATAAAACAGAACTCATTGATGATGTCCGGCGACGCCAATGTGAGCTGAGCACACGCCAATCACGGCGGCTGTTCCACCATTGGTAATTCAATTGATTGATATGTGGGGTTTAACGTCCCAAAACCACCATATGATTATGAGAGACGCCGTAGTGGAGGGCTCCGGGAATTTCGACCACCTGGGGTTCTTTAATGTGCACCACCATTGGTAATTCAAACCACAGGAGTTGGGCCAGGAGTAAGAACTTTCTTCAGACGTATTCTAAGATCAGTGTTCATAATAGACACGTGTGCGCCAGTGCCAACGAGGGCCATAGTTGGTACACCATCCACGTCAACATTGATAAGGTTCCAATGTGCGGGTAGGGTCAGAAGAGGATTTTGGCATCGGGTCGGTATTGCAGCATCCCCTTCAAGAGCTGCTCCTGTCATTTTTCTGGAGGTGAGTGCCGGAAGGAGCTTGGGGAAGGGGATTGACAAAACAAGGGCGAGCAGGAGAAACGACGATGTGGCGAAGGAGAGCAGCTGGATCGAGGGTGAGGGTGAGGCCACGAAGCAGAGTTGGAGCAAGCACGGCAGTGGCGCGAAATGTAGCCTATACGACCACAACTGAAGCATATCGGCCTGTTGTCTGATGTGCGCCATTCCACCTGGTTGCGATAACGTGGGGTAGTAGAAAAACGTCAGTCGGGCGGAAAAGTGATGAGTGGATTTGGTGGGGCGTAGTTTGGACGATGAATGGAGCAGATGTTGTTCAAGTCAGCCTTGGCCTCATAACGATCTAGATGATGGAAATGGTGGCATGATAGCTGTCGGAGTTGGAGGAGGATGACGTGAATGGTGCCGCGACTTCGATTGTCCGGCAGACAATACGAACTACATCACCGGGACTTCAGTTGAAGGCAGGCGAGGGTTTTCGCATGTGGATGTTGCAGCCGTGTTTGAAAGGCAGGCAAACTGGCGGAGATAATGGCGGCTCTTGGCTTCTTCAAAGCGCCAGCATTCAGAAATGATGTCCTGCACCGTAGATGAATTCTTGAACACAAGAAGGTGAAGGGCATCCATCATCTGCTAAGCCCTTAATAACATGGCCAACCTTATCGGCTTTGGACATTTGCGAGACTTTTCGGAACAAAGCGAGCACGTCCTGAATGGAAGTGAGATAGGATTTGGTGCACGCCTGAAGCCGACATGAGAGCTCGGATTGGGCCCTGCACTGACTTCCCACAGGTCTGTCAAATAACTTTCGGAGCTTTTTTTGCTCGCATAACTACCAGCTGGTTAGCTCTTCCTCATGTGTTTCATACCAGACCTTTGTGGTGCCTCTAAGATAAAAAATCACGTTGGCTGCATGAGCGTTGGGTCCCATCGCATACGTACACCCACTCGCTTGTATAATTTCAGCCAAGCTTCTAAATCAACGCCATCGTATGGATATCCACGTGTCACAAACGACTCCAATTTTCGGATCATTTGTGGGCTCCATCTTCCAGGGAAGGGCGCTTTTGTGTTGGGAGGACGACATCCGGCGACTAACAACCCAGCCTGGTGCCGGCTTGTCTTCCCTGCACCTGTACCGAAAGGGGCACGGATGGTCTAAAAAAAAAGGAAATTACCTCCCGATGAGACAGGAGCATGCGTACGCCCCTGAAAAAGTTTGGACTGCATGGGAATAGGCAGTTGACGTAGAGCCAGCAAGAAGTGCGGTCGTCGGTGTCGCGAGTCTCGCGTAGGCGGCGAGCATGGAGTGACCCGTGCAACGTATTGAGACGGCTGCAATTCCGGGCACCCTCGTCGTCTACCAAGCCGGCGAGATCTTCAGCGACACCCCGTCAACTACCCTACATGCACCAAGAGCTGGCCTGGTCCGTATGGAAGTTTTTATTGTGACTTTTTTTTTAAATCGTTAATTTATTATAACCAGCCTTTTTTTTAAAATATTTGTAGTGTGCGCTGCGTCGCACGTCGAAGCTCAGAAGCGCGAGCCTGAGTTTTTTTTTCTTTCTCTCGTAAATTTTCCTTGTCTCTCCTGTAGTCCATCTTGTTTTATTAATGTTCCGCATATATGTCTTTAGTCTGTATCTTTTGTAGTGTTTCTTTAGCATATTTTGTTATATAGCTGTTCTTTCCATCGCGCGTATCAGTTTCTTCCTTTGTTATTTTTGTTAACCCCTGCCTTTGCCCTTGTTTTAATAAAATGCTTGTTTTTGTGTAATCAAACTCCGTGTCTGCTCTATGAGTGCGTCGGTCAGGCCCACACATCACCACACGTGCAACCCCACATGGGTCGACCAACCTGCAAATAAATTTTGAAATGTACCACTTCGAGGCCTTTCAGGCGTCGCAGGCGGAAGCCTAAAGTGTAAGCCTGCGAGTCTGTCGCACGTCGAACGTCGATGTTGGATCGGCGGGGCCTCACCCGAAGTGTGTGACACCACGTAAATATTCACATGGCTGTAAATATTCACATGGCTATCTATACGGATATCCATATAGATATCCATATGCATATAGATATCCATAGCGCGTCACGCCGACAAACAGGGAACATGGCTCGACCCTACGAAGCTTCACCCCCTTTAAAAATTTGCACTCATGCATGCTGGTGTACACGAATGATGGCAAATGCACTGACCGAAACCAACTTTAGAATGAAATCCAAAGGTCAACAGCACAAGAAAAATTCTCCTCGTATCCATATGGGAGTGAAAGGCACCTGCTGAGCAACTTTGAATTACTGTTGCATTTTTGTACCCACCGAGAGCACTGTAAATGCATGAAATTCACAGTGCAGACTTGCAGCATTTTATACTCATGCCATTGGCCCTCAACAGGCTACTTTTAAGTTTGGTTAACTGTATCTTTCAGTTAATTCTACATTGATTAAAGACCCGCTGCGACAACCCAACCATTTTTATAGGACCAAACTTTCATTATTTTTGAGTCCACTGCCGTGGTGCTGGGGTTACAGTGCTCGACTGCTGCAAAGAATTGCACATGCCACGGGAGAACGCACAACAAAAGTGGTTGGTCGGGCATCAGCCAGCATCCCATATGCAATTATTGAGAAGCAGTCTGATAAAGGCAGGGCACCAAGCATGCTATCGATACTAAAAAGCACAACTTTTTTTGTTGTGCATAGCAATGGAATACATGAGAGATAATGACACATGAAGTTGATTTTTTTTTGTGCCATAAAATACAAGCACAACATGCTTGATTTGGGTTGATTGATGAAAGTTTGCTATACAAGCTAAATTTATGCTTTGAAGCAAGGCAGCAGAGCATAGATGGGCAGAAAATGGCACTATTGGTGTAGCATTTACTTCACATGTTTCTCAATATGCATACTGGTGGGCTGCCTCAACAACTTCTTTAATAAAATAATGGGTGACTGGAGGTCCAGCTGCCACCTGTAAAAGTGTGGTTTTACGTCTAGTTTATGGAATGAAAATCTTACAATGATTCGCAGACCATTTTTATAACAGTAAAAAAGCATGAAAGCATAACACTACTTGATATACTTTTGCAAGGCACTCACCAGTAACCTGCCGTGCATCACATGGTGAAGCTTGCAGAACAACAGGCGAGTCTCTCCTGCCACCGTCTGTGATAACTAAAAGGTCCTGGGTGCCAGCGAGAGAGAAACCAAGTATTTCTAGGCCAAGGACATTGTTCTGAGGTCCACGGATTATCCAGCGACAGTTTAGACGCTGCAGAAGGTAGTCACTCATGTTGGCTGTTGGTAGAAGTAGTGTCTGTGCAGCAACTGATGGCATCTCAGTCATGCCACTGCAATCTGCAAATGTGTGTGTATACAGGCTCACAATGCACAAAAACAGATGTCTTACTGCATGCTGGATGACAAAATCTTTATAATACATATCCATAGAAATACCTACTCGAAAATGTAGAAAACACAACTATTGGAAAAAGTTTCCACTAAGATCCCAAGCAAAATTGTACTAATACTGCTCCAAATAAACACCCCATGAAATTCACTGTGGCAACAAGTTAAAAATTAATTTTAGTCACGTTTTTTTTTTTATATATAAACTCGCCGACCTTTGAAAGCAATAACTTTACTGATTCAGGCACAAACCCAGAAAACGCCTGGTTCCGTAATTCTACTTTCAAGGCCAGCCAAGGCCATGACTATGCTTTATTCTACGTACGTGTGTTGTCGCAATGCCAACCAGAGAGCTTCAAAAAGCCCTGACATCAAATTTCAGAATCGAGGTGTGCCCTTCCTTTGATTGCTCCAAGCGCGTAGGTCGCCTTGGGCAAATTTGAATCGAATCCGTCGCGTGGAAGTTGTTTTATATCGACGGCAAACAGCATGCCATAGTTAAATAAAAATGGAGTGCCCTGCGACATCGACACTAGTGCTACGTGTTCGGTGTTATACATTCCACACATACTATCCTGAGTGACGGTGCGCTAGTAGCGATGACTTCTATGATCCGAGTGTTCTTATTGTGGCACTGAAGCCCGGATACCTACTCTCGTCACGTCTGATTTTTGTCGCACCGCTTTGAATGATTTCGTGAAATTACGAAGATGCAAACCACCTTTAAAAGAACGGCAAAAGCAAAAAAGCATGATTCAACGTGTGCTTGTTGGTCAGCATGTCGGGGAACCATTGTGAGTTGCAGTCGTTTCGTTCAAAGTGTGAAAAAAGCGCAATGAGAGTGTCTTTTCATATCACGTATATGTTACACGCCAACACGACCAGAAGCTATCAAAGTGGAACAGCATATAAACTGATACCATTCCTAGGAAATAACACGCAGGTATTCTTGAATTTTAATTCCTATGTAGACTTCTTTGCGTCTGCATAATACCGGGTTATTGCCGCCGCAACCGCAAGATGCTAGATAGGTGGGGCCATCTGGAGGCGCAAAGAAGAACCTGACAAGCAGGGAACGTATTCTATTTCTCCGCTGATGCTCATTCCTGATAGCGATATTCCATTGACCCCTTTGCGTATACCTGAATGCCGTGCACGCCAAAACACACCAATATAACTAACTGAGACACACGAGCGAACATGGCATCCTCGGGCACCTTCTCAGTAATGCTTGGAACGGCATCCACTTTGAAATCGCTGTTCTGTAAAGGGTCGATCGAAGCAAAAATGATTCGCGATGTCACGAATCGCAGAGATTCCAAGCTCCAGACTATCGTATTCCACCTGAATCACTACTTTTTACGGCGACGATTGCAATGCAGGTGACAAGGCATGACTGAAAGTTTTGGCCTAGCAGACGAAATGTTTGTGGAGCACCTGAGCCTGATGTCACTCTGTTATGTGGAGAAGTGGTCAGCTGTGGCGCAATCTGGAGGTGACCGCGAGGTCACCCCACTGGTAGTGCTCCCAGCACTAAAAATGGCGGGATTGCCGGCTGTTTTGAATCGTGCTAGATACCAGTGATATCAATCACTTCAAGTGATAGTTATTCATCCCTCAGTTGCGTTCTAGGTCGCGAATCGCTGCTACGGGGTCTATAGCTACTCGTTGATGCAAAAATCTTGGCATGAGTAAATTTGATGTCAGTGCTCCTTTCAGTAAACACTAGATGCGCCAAAGAAAATATGTGTTTGCAAATGTGACCGCCAGCAGGAACAACATGCGGCTATGCACATACAGCTGTGCATTAGACATGCTGCAGCCCACCGCCGGAGGCTTGTCAATGAGACCCTACAGTTCGGGCTCACTTTTTAGAAGCACATCCTCTCGAAAACTGCTAGTCTAGCAATGCTCCATTGTACAGTACTCCAGTGTGTTGCTATCCAATCATTTCTTCACCATTCAGGCGAAACAGTCCATTTTTTTCAACACTACATACTATTGCAATCATGTAACCAGCGAAGGCGCACCCAACCTTGTCAAATGAAACTGATAGTTGTACTACAGGCAGTGATCAACTGTTGACCCAAAGTCACCTTCCACATTTCAGGCAGAAGAACAACATTTTTGCTTCACTTCCAATCACATTACTGAGGCTCAGTTCTAAAGCATCACAATGATTGAGAAAACAGCCTATACAGCCTATACAGAGTGGATCGTTGATATGCAGTAAAAAAACAATTGAGTAACTAAACTGCAGTGCAATGTTAAATATAATGGCACATTTGGTTGAGAGTATATGAGCGTTCTAGAGCGCGCCGTAATCTGGCCGCGCATTTAGGTGGTAGAATTCGAGCACTCGAACTACCTTTGGTTGGTTTTTTCGGAGCAGCCGCTGCCGACTCAAAGTGCTCTAGACCGTTCTGACTTTGAAGTGAGAGCATGCTGCGATATGACAGGGAGGATGGATCACATGACACAAGCAGGCGAATTACATGGCTGCCGGCAGGTGAACTAGGTGAAAAGCACCAACAGGAAGAGCGCACATTTTGAAAGGGGAGGGGACATCATCGGGCGCATAACACTTCATGCACGCACATTGTTCGTGCGGTTCTGAGTGTGTGCATGGCAAGCTTACATCTACAAGGCCATACAGGCACCATGTCAATAAGAAGGCAGCTAGCAAAGGGAAGGAAACGTCAATGGTGTCATTACACAGCTGTTGCTGCATTCAGACATGTCGGAGATGTCCAATGAACTGACCTGCGCCATTTCTCGATGCGGCGCAAGCGTGTTTACCCTGCAGCTTGCTGCGCTGGCACAACAGTGGCGCTACAGGTGCACTGCTCCGAGATCACTAATGTGTTCGGTTGGTTTAACTGCCTGCCGCGCTCCGATTGTGAGCTGCCTCGACATTGATTGATTTGTAGGGTTTAACGTCCCAAAACCACCATATGATTATGAGAAACGTCGTAGTGGAGGGCTCCGGAAATTTAGACCACCTGGGGTTCTTTAACGTGCACGCAAATCTGAGCACACGGGCCTACAACATTTCCGCCTCCATCGGAAATGCAGCCGCCGCAGCCGGGATTTGAACCCGCGACCTGCGGGTCAGCAGCCGAGTACCTTAGCCACTAGACCACCGCGGCGGGGCAAGAGCTGCCTCGGCATCTGGCGACTCTGAGCCAGAGGACTGGAACGACCAACCGAATATGCCATAAAAGATATGTTGTTCCTTTCCATCCCCGCAACAATAGAATGGCAGTGACAATAACTGAAACCATAATCTTGAGCTCAGGTGAAGAACATTCTGTAGGAACAATAAGTACCTGTGCTTTTCTTTGCTACTGCTGTGAAATTGACAAACCATAGACAAAATACATTAAACCATCACTTACTATTGTAAACTGAGTCAAGCAGGATAGTGAAAGATTGATTTGCAATGCTCAGGTCCAAGGCAAGAGCAAATTGCAGTTCTGTGGCGATGAAGTCGAATGCAGGTGCATCTCCCGCTAGAAAACAAAAAAAAAATCATCAAAATAAGAATAAAACCTGACAGGCACTTTATTGCTATTTGGTGCATGATGAAATATTTGAAAGAAGATATTTTGGGATATCAACTGCACACTTTTCACAGACCTCTTTGAATTCAAAAATAAAAAAATGCATAAATACATATACAGTTGAGCCCACATATAACGGCACCACTTAAAACGAACGATACCCGCATGACCGTAGAAATATACATTTCAGTGGCCGAAAATTGCACTTACACCGAACATCTTTTGAGCGTCGCCGATTGGTTACAGCAAACAGAGTCGGCGCTCTGGCAACTTTCAAGGAAACCACTTTCGACCACTTAAGCTATCAGCAAGGTGCCCCTAGATTATTATTGTTAAACGTCCACCCTGCCTCTGCAGCCCTTTAGTTGTCGCTCTCCCTAACCATTTTTTTTAATGCACCCTCTCCCTCATTTGTCAAACCGCTACTCTGAAGACACCCCCATCGCTAGACGAGGCCCATGTTTTCATGCTGCCACCAACATTTAGAAGACCGGTAGGTCGACTAATCTCCTCTCAGTTTTTGATCGTTGGTTTTATTACATTTTCGTTGGCGTCGCCAGCCTGGAGTGACCAGACCATTTGCAAACATCGTCAGCCAGCAACTGTACCCGATCATCTGTGTCTAAGTCTTGTATGCATCGGTGTCGCATCGTTCTGGTGCACACGCTTGTGCTACCACACCAACTTTGATAATTCGCGATTCATTCCGTGTTCAGGACTTGTTCTCGCTCACTCCACACACTGCACAGCACGCCCATCGCACGCATTTCGAAGCATAAAAACGGTTTTTACACAAAACAAATCTTGAATTATAGAAGTCAGCGGGGCCGTGCAAGTCCGCCAGCGCCACAATATAGTTCTTTGACCTTTGCGCACGCAGAACGCTCTCCCTAGTTTTCCCACGAGTGAGATCCACGTTTCGTGGCCCTACTCATACATCACCTCTATCGCAACTCCACCAGTCTCTACGCTCCGCAACGCCAGCCACGTGGCTCGAATTAACAAATTTCGTTTTCTGACAAGAAACAGGCCCAAGGCAGTTCCACGCATGTTGGCTTCTATGTCGCATGCGCGCTTTTTTTTACGCTGTTGGTGTGCATGTGTGGTCAGGACGGCAGACGGGTGGCCTTCCACATCCTTTCCTGCTGCTCAACGAAATGTCGAAAGCCCGGCTCCTTGGCTTGGGCGTAATCAGTGTGTTTAAGACTTTAATGGGTTCCGCGTTGTGGAGCGCTTGCTCATATCTGTTGACCACCCAGCATCTAACTTACCGCTTCAAATGTCCCTGTGTTTAGCTGTAGAGATTCGTGAAAGATTCGTGAAAGGCAGTGACGGCTACATGTGTGCAAAATTATTTTCGGGGGGCTGACTTCGTCGATGTCCGACTCAATGCTGAGCCTGAATTTTCCGAACACAATCACTTCGGCGGCGATCCGTGGCAACCCGTTGTCGACTCGGACATGAGAGGGCGTGCGGGACATTTGCTGAGATGACTTCATTACAGCCGATAATGATGCCGACACTGCAAAACCAGGCACTGATAAGGGCATTATGAATGAAGTGTACGGCAAGAGCGATTTGGAGAAATCCGATTGCAAGGATGACAAGACCTTGGAGCCAGTGCACACAAGTGTGCTTGTAGCAATTGGCTACATTATTATCTTGAGGCAGCTTATGCCACAGGCCTCGACAAAATGCACACTGCCGCTTTAAATAAGCTCGAGAGCATCCTTATCGCTTTTGCTATTCGAAACACGCGCATGACGGGCTTTTCGGGGAAAAAAAACTTTTTGTTTTCATTTTTTTTAAAGCTGAACTTCAACTTCTTTTACCACAAAGTTCCAAAAGCTGTATTTCATTTACTATGAGCTTGGGGATAGCAAGGCCGGATGCTGTGTCACACTTAGAGGGCTTGACAGTATATGTATTTTTCGGTTTAGCTGCTCTCAAGTCTTCACACACAAATTTCAAATCTTTTGCAGATGAATACCTGCACATTTATATTTCACACCACAATTCCCAACACCAGTGAAAATAAAATGCAGCTTACTATATTGCAGGTCAATCTCAGGTATAAAATAAAGGACGACAAGACCTCAACAAGAATCGTACTAGGTGAGCAAACAACTCGTTAAGTGCCCTCAACAGTCTGGGTATATTACAGCACTTGAAATTGGAGGAGGTTGCTCAAGTCTGTCTCCCCACTCCCACTCCGATTTCTCAAGCTCCATAGAGTTGGGTAACAGCGAGATGACCAAATCCACACAAGAAGATGTGCACCAGTAAACCAAATTTGCCTTCAAAAACATACACAAGCAATAAACATCATAAAAGAACAAACGATTTCTGTAGCCTCGCAGTGTCTCTTCATACTGCAGTTATTCATAGCGTTCAAAAACACTTCACATAAGCACAAATTGAAATTTCAAATACATTTCGTGCATGCACTATTCATTAAAAGAAACTTCACATAAGCACAAACCGGAATTTCAAATATATTTCTTACATGCACTATTCATTAAAAGAAACTAACTACATAGCAAGTTATGAATGCCAAATGCAGAAACAAAATAATAGGGAAGACAGGCTCAAGTTTGCGCAGTGCCGTTCGCCAGCCTAGTAGAGAGAGGGCAAAGCTCCGGCCGTTCGGATGGGCCCCGTGTGTTTGGTTTTTCCGTTGTACGCACAGACGTGTTCCTTGGGGCTTTTATCTTGCATTTTGCATGCTACTTTGTCATCCTGGAAAGCAGGCACAGACTACTTCTGCATTGTGAGCTGCCACAAAAGTTTAAAATGACAAAGAGTTGAAAACTGCCCGTGAAGTTCCACAATTTCCAATGCAAGCAGGGCGAGGACAAATGGCGTCAAGAGTACATTATGGCAGTTCGTCGATAGTCTCTCGGTGTTGTCACTTTGAAGGATTTTTCGTCGTGCACAGTATTACCAACTAAAAACGGGGAAAACCGTAATGGCCGTACTCATATGAAAAGGAAGTGCTTTTGTAAACTGAAGCTACAGCAAGTAGACAACCTCTACAATACATTTCGAGATTGGGCACTGGCTTTCTGAGACGACCATTTGTAATGCGACAGCGGCAAAGCTTGCCAGCTTAATACACCACAGTTAAAATACTGTACCGTGAGCTCTGCAAGTGTTCTATTCAGCTGGTGGCTGTAGCCTTCTCGTCGCCGCTCAGTGCAAACAGATTTATGCTGCGAGTTCGCGCTGAGCGTTTATACATACAGGTCTTGCAAGCGACACCTACCGATAAGTTAGCAGGCTGAGTTGTTGCAATGCTAGGATCGAAGTCATGGGTTCAATTCCCACATACACCAGCTGCATTTCCATGTAAACAAAAGTGGCGCTCGGTGTGTGCGCACTCTGTTTGTTGTAGTCGTGGCACCTTAACTTGAAATAGATTGATTGATTGATATGTGGAGTTTACGTCCCAAAACCACCATATGATTATGAGAGACACAGTAGTGGAGGACTCCAGATTTCAACCACCTGGGGTTCTTTAACGTGCACCCAAATCTGAGCACACGTGCCTACAGCATTTTTGACTGCATCGAAAATGCAGCCACCACACAGAATTCGATACTGCGACCTGCAGGTCAGCAGCCGAGTAGCTTAGCCACTAGACCACTGTGGCGGGGCCACTTCAATTAGATTTAGGTGCATGCTAAGAAACTTCATGTGGCCGAAATTAATCTAGAGTCTCACACCCCGGCGTGGCTCCTAATGATATCATGGTTTTGGCATGTAAAATATATCCTTGCATGCTCCTGAGCCGCGGGCGATATACAGCTGCCACTATGAAAAAGAGTTAGAAAAAGGACAAAGGTGGCACTACAATTTTCTATGGTTTCATGAAATTAGACGGGGTTATCAGGGGCAAATCTCGGCGTAACCAAAAAAATGTTCGGTCCTAATGGGTATTGTATAATATGACAACAACCAAGCGAGCTGTCAAAACAACCAAAGCGACATTCAAATGAGTAAACACGCCGCGTAATCAGGCATGAATACAGTCGAGTCCACTTATAACAATACTGGTCTTACCAATATATCGGATATAACAATGGACAGCCGCGGCACCATCAGCTTTTCAATCTATGGCAAAATCAACCGTTTATAACAATGCCATCATGATGGTCTTACCAATATATCGGATATAACAATGGACAGCCGCGGCACCATCAGCTTTTCAATCTATGGCAAAATCAACTGTTTATAACAATGCCATCATGATGCAATATCAGTTATAACAATTAAATGTGGGCACTGGAACCAACTCTGAACGAAACAAAAATGCAAAAACGCTGCAAAAATGCCACCCCAGCCTCACCTATTATGCAAAAGGGCATGAGAGCATATGCACGGCAGCCAGGCGATAGCACATTTGGGCTCGCACGCCGCGAGTGCGTGCCAAAGAGGCTCGCATGCCACTGCTGCTTTCGCCTACCGCGATAACGCAGAGGAGGAGCAGATGGGTGCCTTGCAAAAACACACGCGAAAGATGGTTTGCCGACAGCTCTGAGAAGACAACTGCCGGAGCAACTGGGCGTTATCGGTAACATATACATTCAAACCTCCTTATAACCAAGTTGAAGGGGAGCCACAATTATTTTGTTATATCGATTATAACAGTTTGTGGCAATGTATGCTCAGATGGGCACACACCTATAAGCATGCAAAGATGAAAACAGCTTCGCGGCCCGATGCACCACTATGCGACCACGCGTGCAACGAAAAATAAACACAGTCGAACCTCATTAATTCGAACATGCTTTATTCGAACTTCCGGTTGATTCGAATTCAAGTTGAGGTCCCCTCAAAGCTATGTGTATTCCAATTGGCAAAAACGCCCTGTAATTCGAATGTGCAAGCACTTGCGACGGTTCATTCGAACATACCGCGCTCTGAAAATGCTCCCAGCAGCATGCCCAATCTCGCGGCGGCACCTCTCAACACTGAACGCAAAGAAAGAAAAAAAGAAAAGGAAAAAAAAAAGACTGTGGCGGATTGTTTGCTTTCTCTCAAATGCCGATCTGCGACGCGCTTGTGCCACACGCTTCTCCCTTTTCTGTCTCTGTCCATAGAGACCCTTGAGACCCTTTTCCTTTCAAGGCCACACGCGAAGAGAGAGGAAAAAAAAGAAAGCTGTCGCAAAGAGCACTCGTTTCTCGGTGCAAAGGGTAGCATTGATTGAGTGATTCTGGAAAGTAGGAAAGAAGGCACCTAATTTCTGTTTGCCTGTTGGGCGACACAGCTTGCACCGCGGCGCCGCTTCTCAGTCATATGACCCGCTGAGAGTTTCCTCAATCCTTCCCGCTGGATGTCAGGAAGACGGCTCTCTCGGCTGCGCGTGACGTGGCTGTAAAGTCTGCGCGGTAGTTTTCAAAGAGCCACGCCGAACGAGCGTCAAACTCCGCAGAAAACGATATACTTAACACACTACGGTCTGTTTCTTTTTTTTGGTGGACTATTTTATAGACTAATTTAGTTCGTTACATCTATTTATCAATTTTACTTTGTTATAACGAGGTTTAAAATGCGTGGTTCTCAATGGAGCTTTCAAGAGGAATTTCATTTACTTTGTTATATCCATTATTTCGTTATATCCTGTTATGTTATAACGAGGTTTGAGCGTAGCATTTGTGCCGCTATAGTGCTGTCACCTCACTGTTAATGTCATAGAAATCAACACGCACATAGCACTCGAAAACATTGTGTTTGGCGACTTAATTACCTGGTCCCACAAAGGTTGTCGAATCGCGCTCTGTTCTGGTGATACTCATACAATGATAAGGTTTTATATCTTTTTAAACCTGCGAGCAAGTCGCAGGTGACGCTGCACGTGCAGAGCGCGCAAACGTGCTGAGAAAGCGGAGGCAGAAGGTAGGAGCAGGGTGACGAGCGACCAGTTTTTGCTAGAAAGGCGGCGAAACGTGCTCCCACACCAGCTGTTCGGTCCAAGTGGGCACAGACCATGTCTCTGATGCTTGTCGGAAGAGCTGCAATGAAAAAGATTGGCAAGGGTGCCCTGCTTCATTGCAGAAAGATTGCCCATATTAGCCCTTATGACAATGCCTTAGTAGTTGATATGCGGTCAATGAGGGCATCAGTGAGCTTTCCCTTACCTCCGAGACCACGCACTGCCTTCTTCAGTTTTCTGAGGTGGCAGCCAAGACACTTCCGGACATGCCCAATGTATTCCAGTTTCTGGACATTTTCCTTTCCATACATGTCTTTCACAGCGGCATAGCTCCGGGAATGACCATCACAGTAGAATTTCAGATATTTCAACCTCTTTTTGGCTGCGACCTCTCAAATCTTCAGTACAGACCAACTGTCTCCATACTGCCAGCACTTCCTTCATGGTTTGCTTGACAGGAAGTGTGGTTTGCCTTCTATTCCTAATAAGAAGCACTTTCTGGCCTCAACTTCCTTTTAGTTTTACAAGACTTACATGAGCTAGAAAGGGAACATCAATGACTTTTCGCATGTCAACAGAAATCCCAGACACACATTCGTTCAAAGATGAATGGCCACGCTTCGGCCATGTGCCGTCACCTGAAACACCACACTCGGCACTGCCCACAACATGACGACGAAAGTTCCACAGCAGTATCAGCTATAGATTTCGACGCCACTTCTCCTGCTGCTGCAGAAAGCCGAGATGATAATTTGTCGCAGGCGGAGTGACGTGGAGGAGCGGGCATGTTCATGACTTTGGCAAACGTTTTCGAACCTGCATGCTTTTTTCCTAACTGATGCATCGTGTAAACGAGACGAACATTATATTCATTAACACATCCCACCTTTCTAGACGTATCAAATGGACGCTCGAGCCCACAGTCAGTCCACACGACCACACAGGTTGAGCATATCCCTTGGTGAGAGCGTTCCTCGATTGATATGTGGGGTTTAACGTCCCAAAACCACCATATGATTATGAAAGACACCGTAGTAGAGGGCTCCGGAAATTTCGACCACCTGAGGTTCTTTAACGTGCACCCAAATCTGAGCACACGGGCCTACAACATTTCCGCCCCTCCATCGGAAATGCAACCGCCGCAGCCAGGATTCGAACCCGCGACCTACGGGTCAGCAGCCGAGTACCTTAGCCACTAGACCACCGCGGCGGGGCGGTGAGAGCGTTCCTCGAGCTTCAGCGTTGGGTTTATGCATCCAAGGCACGTGAGTCATGAAAACACCAAAGACAGAATGCAATGCCCGCAAGCTTCGTCGCGGTCATCAAAAGACCTGCGCCCGTGTCAGGAGGCAGCCTCGTCGTCGTGTAGTGATTTCCACTAAACTTGCGCTTCCTTGTCTTCTTAGTTCTGCACTTATCCATGCTGGTTTGAATATGATCCAGGTGGCCAAAGAACACACACGTTGCAGCGTTGACACGTGGAAGAAATGTAAAATAATGCCTTACGTAGCCCGGCCAAGGTAAACAACAAACATTCTATGAGCATTGTGCATACCCCTTGTGACAGTTTTTAGAGTTTTAAAAACAATTAGAAGCACAAACTTATATATAATGACATCCTCTTATGTAACAATCAACATAAAATTCATGAAGTATTTTGAATATTATTGATATAGGCAAAAAACAGTTTTGTAACCAACACATTGTGGTTTTGGTATACGAGCATTGGGTATAAAATCTCGCTGTAATTTGCAAACTAATGATGATAATACTACAATGTGTTTTACATGACAAAACAACAAGACTATTATGCAGCTCACTGCAGCGGAGAGCTCCGGAAATTTCAACCATCTGGTGTTCTTTAATCTGCACGAACTGCCCACAGTACACAGGCCTCTAGCATTCTGTCTACACCGAAATACGACTTCCGTGGTCGTGATTGAACAAGCGACTGTCAAGCTAGCCTGCTACAGCTGCTCATGCAAACAAAACACTGATGAGCATTTTCAGTGGTTCTAGGAGGTCCAAGTCAACAATTTATAGCAGTAAATTCAATTAAAAGTTCTACAGGTTAAGTCAAGTAAGTCAAGACAGTACATCTAGCTGTCTGCTGTTACATGTTAGTTATGTAAATGTTTATTTTATGCAGACACACCTTTCAACTCGGCAGGAAAGACTGCTGGTTTCCCTGTTATACTCAGGCTGCTTTTTCCCTTTAAGTTGACTGAGTCCAGCGATGCATAGGCATAATTTTCTTTAGCATTCGAAGCATGGATTGTGATGTAGCATACCACAACCTCGCTGCCACTGACATAAGCAGGAAAATGGAATACTGGGGTGCTTGATGATACAGTGGCATTGCAACCTGGAAATTGAAAACAGTGACATCATTATTTCCTTTCAGTCAATGAGCCAACAAACTCATAGACATACAATTCAAATGACCTGTGTGTTTGAACTACATAAAAGTTAGGTTGGTATACAAACAAATACAATAGGACAAACTGCAGAAGTCTCACCTAATGCTATTCACTTAAGCAAAAATATTTATAAAAAAATCTGACCTCTGGGCAATGATGAATGTTTTCGAATCGAAACTTTTATGTGGGCGGTGTACTTGCTCCCTATAATGTTTGATCTGAACCAGACAGGTAACTCCCAATATCATATAAATATAAAATGTGACCTTTCCCATTAAAAGAGGCTACCACAGCCTAACTTGCTTTTTGGTCAAGTAATCAAGCAGTATATTAAAAAAAATACTTTCTCAACATGGAAGATCCTCTAAACATGGATGCATGTAATCAATAAGTATGCAACACTATGCAACAGTTTTTGTGCTCCTACCTCTAATGCTGAAGATCTTGTTTTGGTGCTAAAGAATGCACCAATAGTGAACACAACATTGTAACGGTGAAATTTGACGTTTTTCAGAGCAAGGGCCAAGAAACGCCAAATTGCACCCGACCAATGCAGTGTTATCTGTTGCGATGGAGCAATTAATTATGAGGAGTACATGAGAAGCGGCTGTAACCGAGCCTAAGAACAGCTGCTCTAAATTGCACAGAATGCTTATCTAGTAAGATCATGCAATGAGTAGTGACAGGTATGAAGAGAACATGCACTGTGTGTAGATGCTATGATGCAATAGAAAGTGGCACTGATAAAATTCGCAAAAGGCACTGTTGCTTAGAGAAAGTCCTTGCATAGAAGAGCTTGAAACCATGTGCGTAATGCTTTCTTGTGCACAAAAACTGGATGTTCTTGGGTAGTCCAGAAAATATATACTTTGCTGCCATAAAAATTTATTGATGTTAAAGTGGAGGCAATCAAAGATAGATGGAGAATTAGTGTTTTCAACCGGAGAAATTTCAAAAATTATAAAAAATTATCAAAGCAATAAAATAACAAAATGCCAGGCCTGCATCGAAGGTGCAGCACAGTCACAGAGAAAGCTAGAAGAGCGGCCTTTCAGAGCCTTTTCGAAACTCTCATTGGGTAACTACTGTAAGCGCACTTGCTTGATACTCACTAGGTCATTTTTAATGAATTTAATTGGATAGTAGGCCGGCATTTGCTATGCTATTCTTCGTCATTCTTCTGAGAAGCGTGGTATCCGCTAAACACTTGCAAGGATTTTTTTGCCAATTGTTCAAGCAGTGGCTGACGACGATGAGGAAATATGGCTGAAGTGGGTATGTGCCACACTTAATAGGGGAACAAGAACAAGCTTTTGTAATGCTAGTTCCCACTCTGTAGCGGTTCCACCCAGTATCGCCGTGACAGGACCCACCACTTCTACAAAAGAAGCGGAGAAGCCTCCTGCTCCGGAGGAATGGCCCACGCTCCCGACCCGCTCTTCTGTCAAGGAACCACAGCAGGTTGCGGCCACACCAGAGCCGTCTCCAGCCATGAAAGATTTGCCTTAAATGGATCGCCAAGTGATCTCGGTGCTGTGTTCCCTCATAAAAGCTATCCGAGTGATATTAGTCAACATGGATGACAGCATCTGCTCGAAGCACACTTGGAGTATTAGACGCCCTAAGCCCAGTGCTTGAATTTCTCAACTAGGAAGATGGCTACTCACACCTCATCATTTTGTGAAGAAGTCAAGGCTGCATCCGTCATCCAATGGAACGCCAGAAGACTAAAACCACGCCTTTCAGATTTTCATCAGTTTGTGTTTACCAACGTGTTTCCACTCAGCGTCATTTGTGAACCCAATTTGTCGAAACCAATAAGACTTTCGGGGTACGAAGCTGTCATGTCTTCAACAAACGGTGCGTGCAGCAAAATCACCATCTTTGTTCGTCGTGAACTGACGTATGTTGTGCAACCAATTGCGCCTCACGATGACAATCAGTATGTCTGCATCACTGTGAAAAAGAACAAACTCATGTTTACTCTCATAGGCGCTTGTATATCGCCGTCGAATAATCTCGATTCCAGGAGATTAGCGGATATTTTTAGAGTGTGTCCTGCACCATGGGTCATCATAGGTGATTTCAATGCGCAATATGGCCTTACTCTCCTTAACGACGGTAGCCCCGCTTTTCTTCAAGGGGCAACATACGGCAGCTGTCTCGACCTTGGTTTTGTCTCCAACTCCCTCGCGAAATACGTCAAGTGGTTTCCAGATGTTGAGACACGAGGAAGTGATCTCGTTCCAACCTTAACATCAAAGGCTTGTCTGGTTGTGGTCCGCGGACGACCGTTCAAGCAGTCCAATGGACCAACTTCAAACCTGACATAGAAGATGCTTACAGCGATGACCTACGATCTGGGTTAGAGCAAACAATTAAGAGCACAATGCAAAACGCCACTCGCACGGTGATGATATCTTCCACATGAAACGATTTTGACATAGAGTTGGAGCGACTCCGAGCACTTTGACGCCGGGCGGAGCGTCGGTATGGGCGTACAAAATCAATTCACGATCTTAGGACAGCCAGGAGGATGCAAAAGAAGATTCGGTGTTGCATGGATAGATTAGCGTCGGAACGATACAATGTTTTACCAGTCACTAGACCCTTGCAAGCCACTCTCACACATTTGGAAAGCGGCGCAAAGTCTGCGTTACCCTACGGAACAGCGTTTTCCATTCAAAGTGCTCGCGCTATTTCAAGGAAGGCAAGACATCGATGTTGCAGATTTCTGTGCGCAGATCGCCAATCAAGCCACTCGTCCAGTTTCTCCAGTGAAAGGCGACGTCCCCCGTTCCCGTGACTACCACATGGACCTCCCTTTTACAATGGAGGAGCTCGAGGCGGCACTAGCTCTCTGCAGGCGTTGAACTTCTCCGGGCCCAGATGGTATTTCATACCGAGCCTTGTGCAACCTTGGGGAAGGTGCAAGGAGAGAACAGTTGAGCCTTTACAACATCTCGTGGCAGGATGGCAATGTTCCTGACGACTGGAAAGTAAGCCGCTTGTTACTCGTCTTGAAGCAGGGCGAATCCCCACTCGAACTCGCCTCATACCACCAAATAGCACTGGCCAGCTGCGTAGGGAAGCTAATGGAACGGATGATACTAGGCCGCCTGGAGTGGTATCTTGAATACTACAAGATTTATCCGAATTCCATGGCTGGTTTCCGACGTGACTGCTCTTCCATTGACAATGTCGTTGATCTAGTTTCGTGCGTTTAACACTATCTACAGCTTTGTTTATAGATGTGAAAGGCGCGTATGATAATGTATTACAAGAAGCCATTTTGGGTGCTCTTGCGGCGGCTGGCCTTGGTGGCCGAGTTTTTCGGTGGATATCGAGTTAACTGGCTGCAAAATCATTCTTTGTGTTAACAGACGATGGCCCAACGACGCGACGCTATACTTCCAAGGGTGTTCCTCAAGGTGGAGTTCTTAGCCCGACGCTATTCAATCGTGCACTAATTGGCCTTGCTGAATACTAGCCAAGTACCATTAAAATGTCAATATACGCAGACGACACCTGCGTCTGAACTTCGGCAGTCACACATCCTCAGATACGTTCCCGGCTTCAAAGAGCAAAACAATGACCCCTTATGTCATCTCAATCTGCGGGCGACGGATTTCTTACGCCAGAACCCACCGGTTTCTGGGCATCATTATTGATAGGAACCTCTGTTGGAGTTCGCATGTTGCCTATATGAAGAAGCGCCTGATCGCTATTTCCCAATTGTTCAAGTTTCTGGCAGGAAAGACGGGGATGTCAGCAGACACAATGATGGAGCTCTACAGAGCCCTATTTCTCGGTTTCCTGAGATATAGCTTGCCCATGCTTAGCAATACCTGCAAGACCAATGTTCACGTTCTACAGGCAGTACAAGCCCCAGCACTGAGAGTGTGCCTTGGTCTGACCAGATGTACGTCAACAGAGGCAACAATTGCAATTGCTGGTGACTATCCGATACAAACTCACATTGTTGTAGAAGTCCTGAGAACGCACATCAGACACTTCGCACATGCTCCCTGTAATCACCTTGCACTCTTGCCTTCAGAGAGGCGCCAAGCATCGTTGGCTAAAATGATTGTGAAGTACAACGAGAAACTTTCCTTGGGCTTCACTCCTGCATTTAAACCATCGATACTCCCTTGGTGTTTTATTCGACCCACAGTGCATCTTAGTGTATCAGGGATCGGGAGGAAATCGAAGCTTTCATCGCCCGTGCTGAAACAACTGTCTCTTCTTTTGCACGAGAAATATTCAGACAGTGTACATATATATACATACCGATGGCTCTATAAACCGCCAGTGTTTGTCAGGTGCAGTAGTTGTCCCAGCAAGAGGTGTTACTATCAGCTTTAGGACTGACCACTCCACAGCATCTACAGCAGGGGAACTAGCTGCTTTGCACGCTGCACTTTGTGTGGTAAATCGGGAACCACCGCAACAATGGTCGATTTTCAGCGACTTGCGTCTTTGACGACTTGCGTGTGAAATCACGTTTTCACTATGGTTCCCACCAAGCAACGAGACGAATCGTCAACACCACCTGTCCTCTTTGATGGCTCTCCGCATGCCCACTGGGCTCGACCGAAGAAGCCACTCTTCTTCATCACTTATGGCTAGGAGAGGCATTTACAAAATCTTATTCCTTTGTCATAGAAATGGCCGACAACGCTCTCTCCGATGCCTGTCATTGCGAAGAGACGCTACACCACATCCTGTGCGACTGTCCGTTATATGACATCCAGAGACAGTCACTGGCATCCATTTTTGCGCGCATCAACAGCTAACTGTCTGTGAACACTATTCTGTCAAGTGCCCGAGAGAAGACATTGCAACAGACGGCGACAAAAGCTCTATTGAAATTCCTACGCAAGAAAGACTTGAACAATCGGATGTAACAGCAATGTCACACACCGCGAAAGACAAGACTGAACAATGACTGAGTGTGTGCGCGTGTGCTGTCGAATGTGCAGTGTTTATTATCTCTCTTCCCTCTCTCTTATCTTTCATGTCCCCCATCCCCCTCCCATGCGTAGGGTAGCAAACCAGCTGCCTATAGGCTGGTTAACCTCCCTGTCGTTCTTTTCCTGCCGTTTTCCTTCCTTTCGTAATGGGTTGAAGCATTCGACGACCCACTGAAGCATTCGACGACCTATTCGCATTGTGTGACAACTGGTTGTTCTTTCAGTGTATTAAAGCGCTTTATAAGCTGTACTAATATGATTGCTTTCCCGGCATCAGGCCTGCCTAAGACAAGTTTGACACCAAGTCACAAGCACCGGTGTAGCTCAGTGGTAGAAAACTGGGCTGGCACCCAGCGGACCTGGGTTCGAGCTCCACTGTGTCATTGGTGCTACGTCAAGCCTGCCTTTGACAACAAGTTACAAGCACCGGCGTAACTAAGTGGTGAAATACTAGGCTAACACCCAGCTGATCCGGGTTCGAGCCCCACTGTGTCATTAATGCGTTTTTTTTTTCTTTTTTTTATCAATTTCGGCCGATGTGGTTACGGGTACCGGTGACGGCAGACAACTGCACGTGACCCGAATTGTGATCTCATAACAGCTTTCGCTGTGAAAAAAATATAATCATTAATGCTACTCTGCAGAAGGTAAAGAAAAAAATATTGCAACATTCACTCAGATAACAAGGCCCTCATAGAATATCGCATATATAAGCTTTGTAAGTACAAAAGTTGTTTACATACATACATTACAATCGCAGCAAAGACAGGATGTGCTACATGGTAATATTCAGCAAATTCGTACATCACAACTGTTTTCATCTCAAAAAGTGGGTATGTATGTGCCGAGAAAGAATATGGGGTGTAGAGAGATATGCTTTAAGTAAGAAAGTGTTCCCTTCGTTCGAAGCATTTCCCAGCATCCACGTGAATGTGCGAAAAAGAGCCTTGCTCCACAACTACCATGAACAGGAGGTTGGCTGCAACAAAACAAGTAACTGTGTCTCCCATATGTATGCCCTATCTGGAGGCCACAGGCTGACATGGCGATTTTTCGCAATTACAATATTGACGACAAAGAGCCCAACTACAACTCTTCAAGTGTGGTTTGTCAAGGCCTCAGCAGTCCACATGGACGGCCTATAGTCTTGGCCTCGTATAAATGAAGGTCTTCATATCTATGGCAGCAATACCTTAAGAAGATCTACAGGCTTCTCATTTGTTCTACAGAGCAAGTAACAAAGACAATATTGAAAGACACACACAGCACTTATTTCGTTCTTGTTCCTTACGCTGTAAGACATCAAATTATGTTACACCAACTAGCCCAACACTCAACCTTAAGCTTCTGGTACAAAGGATGTCGTGGTTTTTACTGGTCTCAATCTCTCTATGGCCTTGCACACAGAATAATGTCAGACATTAGGCAAGTGCATTGTACTTAGAAGAAAAAGATCAATAGTTTCAGGATTCTCACAATCTTAAGTACACATTAGGGTTCTTTCGACATAGGGAGTCAGTAAATATGACTCCATAGCGCATAAGAAAGACAACTGCCAGTTAGAGCAATGAAACGAATAATGCAGGTCTGAAAGTGCAGCCAACGGCAGAATTAATTTCACCATCCCATTTAAATGCCTTATCCCTAATTCCTGCTATATTTAACACCAGAGTCACAGAAACGAGTCAACCGCAATGTACTTTTATTGCTACAATAATTCTTACCTTCATGAAACATGCCACTGAATGTTCGTAATCCCTTCATGCTTCCATTTAAAGTGGTAGAAATTACCACACTTTCATCAGGAATGAAGTAAGTGACAGCATCTACAAAATAAATTTATCATAATTACATGTCACATTTCGAAAGATTACTCAAAATGACATTGCACTATCACTACAGCCAGCCATAAGCACAAGGAAACAAGCAATGCACTGCGACAATAATAATTCTGTAGTACAGAAAACCTAGTAGCTAAAAATATCTCTTAATGATATATACTGCATACATAGAATACTATATTTATTAAAACTTTGACTACGTTAATGTTTTTACAAAATCTGCGACCATTTACAAACCCTTTCCCTTTCGCTGGCAAGACGTATAGCTGTCCTGAGATTCTCTAGTGAAAATAATGATCGTGAAAATACTCATGTACAAAAAATGGCCCTGCATAGAACCATGGATGACTATACTCATCATAGTTGTGTTTCTTGACACTAGAAGCCACACTTTGATTTTATGTATTTACTCAAAGAGCCTACAGCACCCGAGCCATTATTGCAGGGGCTCAGGGTAACATAAGCTTACATAAACAGAATAACTATGCAAACAAGATCAACACAAAAATTAAAAAAGATGTAGTTACGAGTCTAACAGTATGTCCTGGAACAATGTTTCTAGCGGCATACAACAACTTCTGTGCCATGAATGAATATAAACTTTTATTAGGCCCAACAATGTTGGTGGTGCACGCAGGCACCACTAACGGACCCATATGTAACGAACCCATATGTAACGGACCCCTAGTAACGGTCCCCTAGTATGTAACGGTCCCCTAGTAACGGACCCATATGTTTCCGGCAGCTCTTGGCCCCTCTTCATCAGTGTAAGCCAAGTCTGTCAGGCGGGGCTGGATAACATGGTCTCCCATCACCATAGGGGTGAGGAATTGGGGGTGTTAGGGAGAGGGGGAGAGAGAAGAGGTCTTGAGTTCTCAGCACTCTCAGAGGTGCAACTGTCGAAATAGGACTTCGAGCAATTTTTGGAGCAGCAAAACATTGCTTTTGGAGCAGGTTGTGAGAAAAAAAAAAAAAGACATCTATTTTCTCTCATTAAAGGCCAAATTTAGAGCAGCATAAAAAATGAGCCACACATTTAGAAAATAAAATGTGTTCAAACCATTCAAGGTCACCTAAATCATGCAGACGGAACATGAGGATTGCAATTTAAAGAAGAGTATTTTGAACCACGCCACTGAGCAAACAATAATTAAGTCCACATTAGCATTTGCCACACATGCCAAATCCTATAAAAAACTCTAATTGATTGATATGTGGGGTTTAACGTCCCAAAACCACCATATGATTATGAGAAACGCCGTAATGGAGGGCTCCGGAAATTTCGACCACCTGGGGTTCTTTAACGTGCATCTAAATCTGAGCACACGGGCCTACAACATTTCCGCCTCCATCGGAAATGAAGCTGCCGCAGCCGGGATTTGATACCGCGACCTGCGGGTCAGCAGCTGAGTACCATAGCCACTAGACCATTGCGGCGGGGCTATGATATATGACAGACTCTGTGAATTCCAAATGCAGATCTGCTAAGCTGGCGGCCTTAAAATTCGGGATATTTGTTAAACTTAGAAATAGGGCTGACAACAAAAAAAGAAACGGGCACACAGTTCCCTTTTCTTTTTCTGGGAAGGGGGGGGGGGGGGGGTGCTGCATTAATGTGATACATTGTTCCAAATGATTCCAAGTAACCTTTTTAGACATTGGCTATCCTGCTCGTACTCGCAAATATGCGGCGTATACGAGCATGGGTAATGAAATAAGATGTGTTGTGTTTCGTAACTAGTGCTAACAGCCCCTTTCAAATCTGAATCTGCCTTACCACAGGGCACCAGTGTACAGTGGCGAAGGAGGCTTAAGCAGCGTTCTGCTGGATTAGAACAAAGCTAATAAATTTTTGAACCGCTACGTCGTCGTCCCCCACCTCAGAGGCTTGGCAAGGGGGGAATTAAACCCTGCCCCCCCCCCCCCCCATTTTCAATTTTGCTTGTGCATATATACATACACACAAACATACATAATATGGTTGAAACTCGCACCCCCGAAAAAAGAGGTTCTGGCTATGCAACCCCAACCCCCTTTTTTCTTTCTCAATAGGGTTAGGTTTAGGGCACAACATGTCTACTCGCTAGCGAGGTGTATTCGACCAGATATTTCAGTAACAATGAGATGCGCCCGTTGGCCCGCGGTGATGGCACAGGATTTCTATCTCAACTTCAAGACAGAAAAATGTTTTATATGCTGTTGCTGTGCCAACCAACGTAGCCACTGGCAACGCCGCGGTTTACAGCACATCGAGTTTGCTCGCTTGCGGAAAACGTGGCATACGCTGCCAGCTGTAATTCCTAGCATACCATAGCCATGACTGCTGACTAGGAAATTTTCATTTCCCATGAATCGTTGATGGCTAAGGCAACGCATTTTTTTTCTAGAAGTTGCGTTGTCCCGTCGTTAGGTATCCGCTGCGATCAGTGGACCGATTTAGAGTCTGTGCACTTAGATTAATGACGCTAACTGAAGGTGGGCAATGTCACCTTCATTTATCGCCGAAATTAGCACAACTGAGAAAATTTTGAGGCTTGTTGGGCATTTTGGTGTGGCGTGGCGCAATTTCAGCAAATTTCATAGTTATGGTGCAGCTCGGTGCAAAAAAGGGGAATTGTATCAAATTCGCACGATTGGTGCACCTGTTGCACCCCTGCACTCTCCCAAGATAAGCAGCGGGGTGCCACTTTCTCTTTTGCAAAATGGACAGAGGGTGTCTTGTTCAGCAGGGTACATGCAGTTCATCAGTACGGAAAGTGCAAGCGATCCCGGCTATACTCAATGCAGGATCGTCTGTTATGCCTGGTCAGTTTAGGGTGTGGTTCCAGTTGTCTGCACCTTTCCTCTCAGTACAACCGGGTAATGTCCCAACAGCTGGTAACCAGGTGCAGTTGCATTTCGGCTCATGGCCAGCCTTGACATTTCTCAGGCATGGTAGTCAGCGATGGTGTTGCCTGTGACCTACGAGTGAGAAAGGACTCACACAAGCTCTAAGACTCTTCCCAGAGGCTTGCACCAACTCCTGTGAAATTTGATTCCACTGGGAGATAGTGTGGTGAAAAAACCAGTGTTAGTAGACATTTATTCTGCAAAAGTATTCTTATTTTTAGAGAGTGGTCCCTTCTGTGGGATAAGAAATGGGGAGGTAAAAGATAAGATTCTTTAATTTTAACCATGCCGTCAAAAAATTTAAAAAGCATTTATAACGCGATATTTTTTTTTGCCTGTGTTTAGTGATTCCCACCCCAACCTACCCTTAAATGCAGTAAAACTAAACGTGAAGTCATAGTTACAGACTGACAAACCAGGCTGCACAGTGTTGTACCAGCACGAGCTTATTGGATAGGGTTTTGCAGGTCTCAAGCCACTTACTTTGCGGGTCCCAAGTCACACAGGCGTACTCCGATATAGGTAAAACATTTGAAAGATAAGAAAATTATCTGATTTTCGGAGGAACTAGGCGGAAGTTTCGTTTAACAAACTTAAACATTTGACACAATCTCACAGTAACATAATCAACATACTTAGTTCAAAATTTCATAAAAAATAAACTTGTCCATGTCGTGCCACGTGTGCCTTGGCTTTCATTGCATTGCAGGTAGAGAAGTAATCCTTAAGGTATTTTTCTTTCTTTATGCAGTTATTTAATGAATTGATGGGACCTTACCGAATTGAAATTAAAGTGCCATTTTATTAAAAAAAAGCTATACAAAATGAGTGAAATAATTTCAGTAAATTTGGTTCTATTTCCTTTTTTCTGGGCAGAGAAAGGGTGAACAAGAAGCATAGAATAAGAGTTGGTTATTTTTAAGATATGGCTTCTGTATCGAAGGTGATATATATCTATACAGGATGTTTTAGGAAATGTGTTAAATATTCTTTAAAAATCAGTAAAAGGCACCATTTTCTAGCTGTCTTCACAGTTGATTTTTTTGTAGTGGCAGGCATCTTAAGAGAGTTGAAGACATCATTTTAAACAGTAATTAGAAAAGATTAAGTAATTAACTTTTTTACTAATGGAGTTAGGCAGTTAAGTCAAATGGGAGCATTGAGGCCCTTCATGCAAAGAACCCACTGTCGTTTTGAGATTTCCAAAAAGTGGCCTCTAGTAATACCTGCAAATTAATGAAATCCTCCTAAATTCTACGATGAAACAGATATGCGAAAGAGCGCAACTGCCATATACGTCTGAGACGTCCAAAATGAGGGAGCGTTGTTATATCAACCATCAACAGACTTCGTACTGTGGGAGTGTGTGCTGCGCTTGTAATTACTGCACGCCTGATGTACATACATTAACGAAAGGGGAAGAACTGCAGCCCTGTAACCGCTGTTTTGAACAGTGATGTCATTGTAGTAGTCTGCTTGTTGCGCTCATCGTGTTATTTGGTTTCGTAGCAGAACTTTCGAGAATTTCATTAATTCTCAATTATTGCTAGAGGCCGCTTTTATGAAATCTCAAAGTGGCAATTGGTTCTTTGCATGAATGACTTCAATTCTCCCATTTTAATTAACTGACAAACTCCAATAATTCAAGTTAAATTTCTAATTTACTGTTCTAAATTATGTCTTCAACCCTCCAAGTATGCCCACCGCAACAGAAAAAGCAACCTTAAAGCCAGTGAGCAAATAGTGACTTTTGCTGAGCTTTAAAGAATATTGCCCACATTTCTTGAAACATCCTATGTGTGTGCGTGTATGTGTATATATAAGGGAAAGAAGTGTGTACCTAAGGGCTCGTTTTTCTATGTTTTTGACACAATAATGAGATCTAACAGACAATAATGCCAAGGAATGTATAGGGGAAGTTATTAGAACAAATAGAATGTAAATAAGAAGAAAGAAAAGTGGGTGAAAAAGTAACCAGCCGTGAGCAGGAATCGAACCTACGACCTTCGAATAACACGTTCGAAGCTTTAACCACTGAGCTATCGCAGCGGCCTTCTCTCCATCCACCTTTTTTGGGGTTTATATGTGAATTTTAG